GGCCCCAAACCCCCCAGCCCAGGCCCCATCTGGGTGCTGCGGCATAGCCAGGGATGGGGCAGCTGCAGCCGCTGCAGGATGGGGGCTGGGCAGGACCATCTTGCAAGATGCAGCCCCGGCAGCGGGAGCATCACTTGCGATGACAACAATGCTGCCACTGCCTCTCTCTGCAGATTCGGCTGAGCGGGGGCCGGAGCCGCTTCGAGGGGCGGGTCGAGGTGGCGGTGGGGGCTGGCGACGGGGACCAGCTGCGCTGGGGTCTGGTCTGCGGCGAAGGCTGGGGTACGCTGGAGGCGATGGTGGCCTGTCGCCAGCTGGGTCTGGGATTCGCTAACCACGGCTTACAAGTAGGTGCCAATGCCAGCTTGGCCAGAGCAGCGAGCCGCCACCACCACTGCTCCGTGGGGACGGGGACAGGGACAGGACTGGGATGGGGTGGGAGGTGGCATGGCACAGGGTGCCTGCTTATGGCCCCAGGGCTTCCCCACAGATCCGCCTAGCCGGCGGGAGGACAGCGTTTGAGGGCCGTGTGGAGGTGAAGCGAGGCAGTAAGTGGGGCACGGTGTGCAGCGATGGCTGGACCACCAAGGAGGCGATGGTGGCCCGTCGCCAGCTCGGCCGGGGCTACTCCCTGCACGCGGTGACGGTAGGTGCCAGCAGGGAGGCCCCCAGTGATACCCCAGCAAGCACAGGCACCGGCGCTTCCCTGACGGCTGTGGGGCTGTATGGGGGCAAAGGGATGTGGCCACTCCATGCTGCAGGACGGGACCCTTGTGGGCAGCCTGGGTATGTGGGTAGGGTTGCACCGTGGCTGGGTGCCGGCAGCAGCCTGGGGACGTGTGAGTTGGGTCACCCACAGCAGCCAGCCCTGCCACCCAGCCTGTCTCTCCCCCTCCCCAGGAGACGTGGTACTGGGACGCCAGCAACGTGACGGAGATGGTGCTGAGTGGGGTGAAATGTGCTGGCCATGAGATGTCCCTGAGCCACTGCCAGCACCATGGCACCAGCCTGAACTGCAGGAACACAGGCACGCGCTTCGCTGCAGGCGTCATCTGCTCCGAGAGTGAGCGGCAATGGGGTTTGCAGGTGGTGGGGTCCACAGGCGGTGGAGTCTTCGGGCAGTGGGGTCTGCAGGCAATGGTGCTGTGGGGGGCCAGGGGCTGCAGATAAAGGGGCTGTGAGCAATGGGGCTGTGGGCAATGGGGTTTGCAGATGGTGGGGCTGCAGGGTCAGCCTGTGCCCAGCCGATGGGGAGAGCACACATTCCCCCAGCTGGCTCCGCCCTGCCTGCGCTGCACGCTCGCCCCGTCCCTGCTGCCTGCCGAGCAGTGGGGCGGCTGTCTGTCCCTGAGCAGCTGCCTGCTCCCCAGCTGCATCCGACCTGCTGCTGCATGCCCCGCTGGTGCAGGAGACGGCGTACATTGAGGACCGGCCACTGCACATGCTGTACTGCGCTGCTGAGGAGAACTGCCTCTCCAGCTCGGCCCGCCTGGCTAACTGGCCCTACGGGCACCGTCGCCTGCTCCGCTTCTCCTCCCAGATCCACAACAACGGCCGTGCCGACTTCCGCCCCAAGGCCGGCCGGCACTCCTGGGTCTGGCATGAGTGCCACCGGTGCGTGCGCAGCATGGGCAGGGACAGGCATGCAGGCAGGGGAACAGCCTGGGCCGGGGGGATCAGGGAGGGGAGAGGGTGATGGTGCTGCTGGGGTGGGCTGGGTGAGGGTGATGTCGGGTAAGGGTGGCACTGGCACCTGCTGCCTGGTGTCCAGTTTTGCTTGCTTTGGCTCAGGGCTGTCTCTGGATGAGCAGTGTTGGGGCTGGAGGCCCTAGGGGGGCAGGACAGGGCTGCAGGCTGTGCCCTGCAGCTCAGGCCCCTGCTTGCCTGGGCCATCTGGCTGGGGACAGCCATGTCCCCTCCCAGGGCAGGACTGAGCTCTGCCCAACCTCACAGCACTGCAGCCTCAGAGCAGGGGCTGTGGGGACCTTCCCCAACAGCGAGGGGCTGGGCAGGGGGCCCCTCCTGTGAGTCTCCTGTCAGCTCCATGGGTCTCCTTCTCCACCCCAAGCATCCCCTGAGCTCCCCAGTGTCCAGGCACTGGTGTAGCCAGGGCGCTGTGGGCTCCCTCTTGCAGGCACTACCACAGCATGGATATCTTCACCCACTACGACATCCTGACCCCCAATGGCACCAAGGTGGCAGAGGGACACAAGGCCAGCTTCTGCCTCGAGGACACTGAGTGTGAGGAAGGTGGGCACCGTGAGGCTTTGCGGCACCATCCCTGCCCATGTCCCCACCATGGGGCTGCCCATCCCCAGCCGTTGTGCATGCTGGGGCCAGGCCTCAGGGGGCGATGCGGGAGTTGGGCAGAGGGCTGTAGCAGGGACAAGCCACGCTCTCTTCCTGCGTGCAGATGTGGCCAAGCGGTATGAATGTGCCAACTTCGGGGAGCAGGGCATCACCGTGGGCTGCTGGGACCTGTACAGGCATGACATCGACTGCCAGTGGATCGACATCACTGATGTCAAGCCAGGCAACTACATCCTGCAGGTGCTGCAGCTGAGCCATCACCAGCACCTCTTGCAACCCTCCCACGTGCACCCCCACCCTCTGTCCCTGCACCCCCAGTGGCCCAGCCACCTGGCCCTCTCTTCCCTGCTCTCTGAGCAGGTTGGGCACAGTGGGGTTGGCGAGGTGTGTGCTGGTGTGGGACAGTGCCTGTCATGCCCAGAGATGTGCAGGGCTCGTGCAGGAACTGCTCAGGCACGCTTCAGCCTGGGTTTTCCTGCTCTGAGCAATACTGCTCATGGGCACACAGTGCACAGTGACAGGGCCACCCTGCCGCAGCAGCAGCCACCAGCTCTTTGGAGCCCTCCAGCCCATCCCGCTGCAGCTGGGGAGACAAGTCCTTCTGGGGCCGGGGTGCTGGGGGCCATGCCACAGGCAGCAGCTCCGCTGAGGCCAGGAAGGCGAAGCTGACACAGTGTGGGGCTGCAGCACTGCTGGGTGTGGGGCAGGTGGCTGCGACCCTCACTGTCAGTGCCCCACAGGTCGTGATCAACCCCAACTTCGAGGTGATATGGCAGTAGCACACAGAATATCAGATAGAGGTGAGAACACAGCATGGGTGGTCAGGGGAGTGGCACAGATATGGAAAGAGAGCAAAACCTGGGGCAGGGGGTGTCCTGGCAGGGGTGGCCCAAGAGGAGGGCAATGAGGGGGCTGCAGGAAGCAGTGGGGCTGGGGGCAGGCTGAGGGGCTTGAGGCAGGATGGCTGGGCTGGCACGAGGAGGCAGGGGCTGCAGTCCTGGGGGCAGCTGCGGTGGGAGCGGAGGCGCTGCAGGGGGGGCCAGGCAGCGTGCAGCACCAGAGCCAACAGCTCTTGCCCTCTGCCCACCCAGGCGATGCACTCAGCGAGGAGGCCAACAAGCGGTTTGAGCAGTACCCCGGTCAGCTCAACAACCAGATCTCATAGGGCCCCAGCCCCTGGGGAGATGGGCATCTCCCTCCCTCGCCCCGCACAGGTGGAAGTTGCTGGGGGGCCAACGGGGAGGCCTCATGCCCAGCACCACCGCCACCGTGCCCTGCTGGGGACTGCCCGGGACTCACTGTCACCAGCTGCCCTTCCCCACCTCAGGGAGCTGATGCTGGAGGCACTGCACACCTGCACCTCCCAGCCTGGGGCCACCAGCCCAACCACTGGCCAGAAAACTCTGCCCATGTCCCCTGGGCTGCGGCACATGGGTACGGTCTGGGAGGTCCTGTACCCCTCACCACACCCTCCCCTCCGCTCCCAGACCCTGCCATCCCTGATGCACCCCACGTCCTGTTCCCCCATTCTGCCCTGGTTCCTCTCACCCCACAGCCCTCCCTGGGGCTCTGCCCTCAGCCGGCCCCAGGACCCACCTCCCACACAGGGACTCACACCCCTGCGCGGCACCAGCTGAGCCCCAGGGAGCCCCTTGTCCCCTGGGGAGAGTGTGGCTGCCCCTGCCCTGGCAGCACTGCCTCCAGCTGCCCGGCAGCAGCTTCCACACCTATCTCTTAGGTGTAATTTTAATTTCTCTATAAAGTTGTCAGTTGTATTTCCCCAATGGCTGCTGGCTCTTCTCTGGGGTGGGACGAGGAGCCTGGCAGGACTGGGAAGCACAGTGTAGCTCATGCTGCAGGGCTGGCTGGCACGCTCCAGCAGAGAGTGTGGGAGCTGCACCCCCCCATCCCCTGCATCCACCTCCAATATCCACATGGAGCAAGGAAGCTCCCCCCTGCCCACACAGCCCTCACTGGGCGAGGACCAGCCCCACACCAGTACCCCACCAGCTGCCTGCACCATCCTCAGTCAGTGCTGGGCTAGAGAAAGGTGGTACCGGTCCTTCTGGCAGAAGTCCATGCGGGTGAGAGGAAGGGGCCAGCAGGAGCCCAAGTGTAGCTGCTGGTCTGTCCTGAAGCAGCCCCACAGCACTGCACTGGAGGGAACAGATGGGGCCACCCTGGTGCAGCAGGGACGTGGTGAAGTGCTGGTTCCCCCACACCAAGGTGCAATGCAAATGTTATTGAGCAGAAATCCCACCATGGGGCTGCAACCCACAAGGATTGCAGTCTCGCAGCAGAGACAGGCTGCCTCAACTGGCATGGAAGGAGCAGAGACAGGGGCAGAGACACTTGGGGCAGAGAACAAGGACTTGACATGAGGGCAAAGGGAGGGACACCCCAGCTCCTGCAGCTCTCGCACCTCAGCCAGACGCTCTGGTCCCATCTGCAGCAGAGAGCAGCACAAAGGCCACTTCAGCCACCTCCATGTTGCTGGGGGACAGGCTGCTCCTCCCCGCATTGGGGGAGGAGGAGAGGGGCAGCCAGCTGTTGGGCTGGGGCAGGCCCTGGCTCCGCACTGCGGTCAGCACTGCCGGTGCAGCTATGCGAGAAACGCTGCCCGGCGTCTCAGCTATTTCCCCGGCGAGCAGCCGGCTGGGGCTTGTCGGGGGAGCAAATTCCTCTGGTGAGGCCAGGGCTGCCTGAAAGGAGGCCTGTTCTCCAGGGCGGGAGGAGCACACGGGGGGAGCAGCGGCTCAGAGCCACCCTTCACCACAGCACCCCCAAGGAACTGTGCTTCTTTCATCTCCTAAAAATAACAGGCAGGGAAGAGGGCTCAGGAGCCCCGTCACGGGCAGGGCCTGGCTCAACATGTGCATTCCTTCTGCAGGAGCAGGGCTGGACACAGCCCCTCAAGACAGCCCTTGCTGCAGAGCTGCCTGCCTCCCACAGCCTCTGGCAGGGGCCAGAGTGAAGCAGGGGCTCTTCCAGTAAGGCAAGGAATAGCCAGAGCTGCTCCCTCCCAGAATGGCTGGCCGGCCTCCTGGCCGCCAGCTGCAGAGCACACAGAGGGCCCAGCCGGTCCCCAGGGGCCAGGCTGCGTGCGTGGGAGAGCAGTGCTCCAGCATGGACAGACACCAGGCTGGGGGAGGGACAGGCAGCGCCAATGAGGCACACATAGCCCCGGCACAGGCTACTTTTGGCCCTCCCGAACATCAGGGCCAGTGAGATGCTGCCCCAGCCATCTCAGAGTCTGGCATCGACACCCCTTTCACCACGACCCGGAAAGCTGCTTCATGGATGCAGATGTGGATGCAGACCTTAGAGCATTTGCAATGCTCCCAGTGGAAGCAATTTGACGAGGCAGACATCTGCCACGTCCCTCTGGCCTCACGGGCCCAGCCACAGCAGCGAGTGCTGCCAAGGACCAGCTGAGCTGGCACACCAGGGAGGCAGGGAGAGCCGCCCCAGTAAAGCCTGTCCCAGAGCAGCTCCGAGGCCACTCTCACTCGCAGAGGAGGTGGCCTCACAAGCCACAGCTTGACGGGTGCCCACATGTTACAGATGGAGGAGTCAGATCCCAGCCTGTGCAGGTGCCAAGTGGGTGGCAGGAAACCTCTACCCTAACACCGAGAAGATCCCTGGAGGCACAGCTGGTGTGCTCCTCCGCAGCTGGAAGGACTCATGTGAGGACTGACAGGAGGGGCAGGGTCCCACACAGCCCAGCCTCCCCTAGGCAACTGCCGCTGCCATGGGAAGGAGGCCACACAGCACTGGAGGGTCCCTAGAAAACTGCTTTATTTGAGTACAGAGGGGAATGGTTGCACCATGAGTCCACCCAAGCACCGGGCTGGGCCCCCTCTGCCTGGCCCCTTCCAGTCCCTCACAAGCTCTCAGTCTCTCCCTGACAGGCGCACAGACATGGCTCAGTCCTGTGTCCTTGGCTCTCGGCCAGCACCACCAGCCAGCATCCGCAGTGGCCTGTGTGACAGCACCACTACTCCGTGACCTCAGGGACGACGCTCACCAGCAAAGTGTCGTAGCCACGCCGCACCAGCAAGGCCAGGCTCTGCTGCGTCCGTACTGCCTCGTACACATCCTCTGCTCGGCGCGATGCCTGCCCATTTATCTCCAGCACGACATCACCTGCCTTCATCCCTGCCCTGTGGGGAGAATAATGACAGGAATACACAGTGGGTGAAGCAGACACTCAGCTTCATCTTTCCATAAGGAAGGGGAGCCAGGCACTACAGGAGGCTTGGGCTGCTGCACCAGGAATTCCTCCAGCCACACAGGTACCAACAGGACGCTAAGCCTGGGCAAGGGTCACCAGTGGGTTTCTGCTGCAGACTGATGGCTGCGGGGCCCAAGCCCTGCTGCTCTGGAGCAAAACACTCAGAGCTAAATACATCCCATCCTGCATAGCTGCTTTCCCATGCCACCCCCCAAAGCACAGGGCAGCACTTACTGATGGGCCGGGGAGCCAATGATCACCTTGTGGATTAGCACTCCGTAGGAGACATCGGGGAAGCTGGGGTCACGCAGCTTCAGCTCAGCCAGGATGCTGCAGAGTGAAAATCAGCATCATGGTAAGGAGCTGCGAGGCAGAGCAGGGCTCCCACCCCACCATGGCTGCACAGGCTGAGACCGTGGCACAGAACCTCTCCTCCTGCATCCCTGCATGCTGCTAAGCACAAGCGACCAGCTGCAAACCCCAGGGGCACCCAAACACCACCATCTTCCTGTCAAAAACTAGAGAACAAAAGTCCTAACTGTGCCAGGGAGAGCTGGAAACTACCAGAGCAGCTGCCAGCTGGATCACAGCTACTGGTGATGCACTTCCCCTGTCTGAGCAGCCCCATGTCAGACCACCCTTCTTGGTATCAGATCTACCCCTCCCCTACTGCAGTTTCACTTCTCTGCCTTTGGTGGGTAGGACACAGAACAAAAGCTATGCCCCCTCTTTTTGCCAGACATGTCAAGCAGAGGTATACCTGCATCTCTCCTCCAGAGTCTATAGACTAAACAATCCCAGTTCCTCCAGTCTTGCTGCAGATTAGGTTTTCTAAACCTAGCTTAAATTCTGCACCTCTCACTGCTCCTCTTTGGACTCTGTTCAACTGCTCCTCACCCCTCCTGAAAGCATCCAGAACTGGACACAGCACTCCAGCTGGATCTCACCAGAGTGGAGGGACCGTGCATCATGTAAACAGCATTCTTCCCTCAAACACTGTGCATCAGCTCTGATCCGCTGCAGCCCCAGAAATTCTCATGGTCTCTCTGCCCAGCTCCTTGCTCCTTATCAGGTACCTGTTCAGTCAATTATGGCTCCCCACTTCACACTGGTCCTTGCTGAACTCTGCTGTACTTTTTCACAGACCTTTGCAAGCTGCCATCCCTTCTTGATTTCACAGGATCACAGCATGGTTGAGGTCAGAAGGGACCTCTTGAGACCATCTAGCCCAACCCCCCTGCTCAAGCAGGCTCAGTCAGAGCAGGTTGCCCAGGACTGTGTCCAGTCAGGTTTTGAGTACCTCCAAGGTTGGAGACTCTCTGACCTCTCCAGGTAACCTGTGCCAGGCTTTGACCACCCTCCTCACAGTAAAAAAAGTGATTTCTTGTGTTCAGATGGAATCTCATGTATTTCAGTTTGTGCCTGTTGTTTCTTGTCCTGTCACTGGGCACTACTGATAGAACTACCGATTTGATGTGGTCTGCACATTTACTAAGTTAAGTCTGCTTCTTTGCCTCAGTCACTAAAGCTGAACAATCCATGCCCCTAAGCAGGTCTCTGTACAAACATAGCAAACGCATGATTTTGTGATTTTAGGCTACATAGCACTAAGAGTGGCTGCACCCAGTTGTGGTGGGTTGTTGACCCTGGCTGGCAGGTAAGTCCCCACGCAGTTGCTCGGTCACTCCCCCAGCAGGACGGGGGAAAGAATTTGAAGGGCAAAAGCAAGAAAACTTGTGGGTCTAGATAAAGATAGTTTAACAGGCGAAGAAAGAAAGAAAAGAAAAAAAAAAGGCAAAAGAAAAAAAAAAGGCAAGTGATGAAAAGGCACTCACTGACCACCGCCCACCAGCAGACTGATGTCCAGCCAATTCCCGAGCAATGGCTACCTTGGAAAAACTCCCCCCAGTTTTATTGCTAAGCATGATGTC